ACACAAATCTCCAAACACAGCTAGGTGACTGGCGAGCAACCGAAAAAATCAGCCTGGTCCAGGTATCGAACCCGAGACCTCTTCATTACAGGTGGAGCACTCTACCAACTGAGCTAACTAAGGTTTAGACGCCAGTAGAGCAAACGGGTTTTATCAGCTGCCACCAGTCTAACACCAACAAGGGTGAAGCTTGCAATTTAAGGTTATAATTATAATGAAATTAAATGCAAAGGTGCAAGCGAGCTGGACAAGAATGACGAAAAACCCGTTTGAATGATAAAACCCGTTTGCTCTACTGGCGTCTAATATCTAGTTAGCTCAGTTGGTAGAGCGCTCCTCCTGTAATGGAGAGGTCTCGGGTTCGATACTCGGACCAGGTGGATTTTTTCGGTTCCTCACCAGTCACCTAGCTGTGTTTGGAGATTTGTGTTTTTTCTTTGCCCTCTTGTTCCCCTTCTCCAGGGATTATTTTCGTCATTCTTGTCCAGCTCGGCTGCACCTTTGCATTTAATTTCATCATAGTTACTGAATCTCTTGAGGAAAAGTCAAGTGCCACACTTGGGCCTCCCAGGAGCTCTCAGTTTCTTCTTTTCTACCAGCTACTTGTCCGGAGACATCAAATATAAACTAGGGACATTGCACTATATCTTCTGCAAACATAGTGTTACTTTCGCAACTAAAAAAAATGCAAACCAGCTTGAAAAAAAAAAAAAAAGAAAGGACTGAAGAGAGATACGATAGTGATTACCGAAGACAAACAACGTGCTTATTGCACGTCACGTTGCCGACTTATGAAATTCCCACGTTTACATCATGCAGTCTGTCGTTGCCTGGGTACTTGGATATTGTCCCTAGAGCAAGCGAAAAATTTCTATCTGTGTTATTTCGCTCCGAGCTCTAAATTTTAGGCTTATGTCAACGAATATACGCTCTGAGGCCCTATCTGCGAACCCCCATTACAACCAATCATCTAGCTTTTTTTTTTGCCATGCGATCTATAGAACTTCAAGAAAGTGAAACTGTACGGTCAGTGAAAAGAAATTTTGGGTTTGTTGCATAACGCACTACAAATTTCAGTTGATATGTATAAGGCTCCGGCATTATGCTCATTACATTCAGATAATAAATGGAAGTTGAGGTCCAGGTAAAAAAAGAAAAGAAGCTGAGCGAAGAGCTGTCTCCTATTGTTCTGGAGTCTACAGCAGTACACCTAATTTATTTACATATTTATACCTACGAAGACGGTCGAAGGCTGAATGGGTTTAACTCCGTCTTTATAGGTTTAGGTGCTCTGTCCCTACAATTCTTTGTCCCCTGAATTTGATTATTGCGATTGAATTGGACAGAAATAAACAAAAAACCTCAGTCTCCCCATGTTATTCTTGCTCTCAAGCTCCATTTTAACCACCGTCAGCACTCTGTCATCTGTTCAATGTCATCGCACCATTTTTAGATGCGGCGCCACAGGCCTTTATGGCATGAGCTAATTCCCTTTCTGCGGCATTGCAGCTCTCCTGAGCCGCAATACTAAGACTAAACCGCACTTATTTTGAACATCTGTTCAGCGATTGCCGCAGGGCACGTGGCGACCCCTCTGCCTCCTTCACACCTACACCGTGGCCTCCTTATACCCGTAAAAGGTGTTGTGACATCATCATCGGCTCCTGAGAGCCGGCTTAGAGGCCAGCGATGGTCATCTGACAGCACCGAGGACGTCACTTTTTCTAAAATTCCTCTACTAAGCTCCTGCGCTTGGCCAACACCCTTTAGATAGAAGGGGCCTAATTTTATGTCATCTACTCGGGGCCAGCAAGGGGAACCATATTGAAAACGAGTGCTGAGACATTGTTCGGCTAGAACTCACCTTCAGTCAGAACAGGAGTCGCAGCCAAAAACTGACGCAGCATTATCGTTCAATCTCACTTCTCTGGCCCTCAGTAGGTGATGTAGAACATTCAGTACTACTATTTTCTATCTAGGTGGTGTTGGGTCAGCGCACAGCAGCGACCTGGGAGCTGCGGCAATATTTTAATTTAGTAAAGCATGTTCCTGGGCTAGTTGGTGTATATTTAGTAGGTATTAAGTGAAACACCGCAAAAGAGGCAAGGACTAGCTAGAGCCACTCTATGTGGCAGCGTGGCTGCAGAGTAGCGCCACGCTTTTCCCTGTGCCGCCTCTCACCGCGATTGGTCACACGCGGTACCATAGCAACGAGCCGAGCTGGCAATATGCCCATAGCAACCGAGTGAGTGCTCGTCACGTGACCTCGCAAAAGCCACGATGTCACCACTAAGGTGGCAGCGCCCAGAACTGGTAGATGCAAGTTTGTTTGGTGCGCGGAGTCGTAATGTGCTCTCTGGTGCAGGTATAACGTGAAGATCTGAAAGAATGAGACTTTATACCTTTTCTGTGCAAGATCGCTGTGGGTATTAGCACCTGTGCGACAGAATCAGTCATATCGCCGTAGTGGTGCTCGGATTCGCGGATGTGTTCGAAGATCGATGAGGCTTTTAGCACGCAATTTTTGCATACTCTTGGCTTTGTTTCAACGGTGGAGTGCCTGAGAACCGATGCGGAATGTATGAGTCGCAAGTTGGGCGTTGGGGAAGTTGTTTCAGCCCCAGGTAACCGCATAATCACAGAAACGTTTAGCGAGGAAGCTCCTGCGATCTTTACGTTTTGTGCTACTCAATGATTTTACGATATAGCTTTTAGGATAAAATCTTCGCCTTTTTCTAGCTTCCTTTGAAAGTTTGAATTTCTGAAAATGAAAACGAAAGGTATACCTCGCGTGTAGGGCCTAGGGGAAGTTGTTTCAGCCCTGGGTCACCGAATAACCACAGCAACGTTTACCCAGGAAGCACCTGCGATCTTTAACCTTTTCTTCTAATCGATGATTTTACGGATTGGCAGTTCTGAAGACTTTGATATAACGTGCTTTCGTTGCAATGGATTGCATTTGATCGCAGAGTTTTTTGGTTTATTTTTCAAGTGACAAGCTGGCGTTTGCTCAAATGACGTGTATAAGATGACCTGTTATAAAACAATGCATCAACACATACTAATAAACTTAGATGATCAGAGATGTGTTCGTCTTTGTAATTAACAAGTTACAGACATAATTATTTTTTTTCCGTGTAATATTTATTTTCTGTAGCTGGGCCCGTTTTGTGCTCATTAATGTCAGTGTGCTATGATGTTATCATCGTTTGTGTATGGTTCTAAATATCCTCTTTGCAATGCCTACAAAGGCCAAACTTACGTCAGCCGACCCCAGCTCATGCACTGGACACGAAAACTGCGTATGCGCTCGTCAATAATTAATTCGTCGACGAATATTTGAATTCGCGTTTGTGGCCAATGAGCGCACTGACGGAACTTATCATCACTGGCGAATGCCAAGTTCTAGGGTGTGCTTAAAAAGCACGGTGGAAGCTTGGGGTCATCGCACCGGTGCCCTAGCATGTTACGACCGCATGATTTCGCAATTCGCTTTTGAGTTGATGATTACAGCTACGAAAGAAGAAGTTAAAAACCATTTCACGGTTCCTTTAACGCGGATATCCGTGCTACACCAGATAAAAATATTGACATTTCGCATGCCGGTAAACTTCCGGACGACCACTTGGCCTGTCGGCAAAAACACCTCATATCCGGCATCCGCCTCTTTTGATGGCGTTTACAATCCTCTGTAGACCACCGTGCTGTCCTTCTTGGTTTAACCTTGTCGACTGTTCCTCGCCCAAACGAGGGTTAGACTGTCGTCGACGTGGCACCTCGCCAATCGGTGAGATAATCTTATCTTGAATGAATGATTGGGTCTTCAAGAAGTATGATGCTAAGCATACATTCGCTAACTATGGGGCGGAACAGACATGTCCCGAGGCAAATCTTCCTGTCGTGGCCGGTGTAATCGGACTTTGTTTCGTAGGAGCGAAGTTCGAAAGTACAAGGATGGGACGTACGTCCCACCAAGCGGCCGCCATTCCGGCGGCGTGGAAAACCACTCGCCTTCTCCGTGCACATACGATACCAAGCAGCTCTCGTCGGCCGACAGTCCCCGGGCTGCAAATCGTCTCACTTACAGAAAAAACACACACCGTTCCTCCAGAGGCCCGTGCCGTACCGCCACGCCAAGCGTCTTTTACCACTAATGGACGAACGGAGATATCCAACTAGCAAAAAATTGCCGCCCGGCGTCGCTAGCAGCACGGTTACCATGGCAACCTCCCAGGCCCAAAACGGAGATCACTGTGGGCGCTTCTGACGTCGTGCACCTAGATAATTTTGCGTCGTGTCGCTACTCTGGCAACTATGCTGCCATATAGAGTGGTTTTAGAAAGGACAAGAGGGTAGACAGGCATGTCTACTTTCGTCCTTGTCTCTTTCGCGCTATGGTATGTTGTACTTAGGTATCTTAATGGGCGATTACGTCGATACTACTACTTTTGAAGTCGAAAGAAAACTTAGCACTCGCACTAGTCTGCACACGAACTAGTGTGCTGTCTTCTTATCTTCGTGGTGGTTCGCGTGTAATCCAGTGTTTTCTTATTATAGAAAACTTAACTCTTTTTTTAATGCGGAAAAAAAAATTTGAAATTATTTATGGAACTTTAAAATATATTACCAGCAATACAAAGCGCTTGAAAATATATTCCATCTCATGTTAGCAGCGCTAGATTATTCAGTAGCTGCTTGCAATAATTCATCTGACGTAGTATTTAGCCGGAGTGAAAAAGAGTGCCGTGATCGGTTTAAAACTACTCAGATACCTAGACTCATGTGCTAAAAACCTACCCAGAATTGGCCTTGTATGTACATGGACAGTGCGTTGTCCTCAGAATATAACCTACAACCTAGGGTCATTCCTAATAAAATTGTTACCTAGAATTTCAAGAATTGCTTTTTAGCGTAGACTCAAAGAAAGCTGCTTAACTTGGCGGTTGAGACATCACCCTTGAAATCTAGCGAACTTCACGTTGCTGGTGCGAATCACTTTTTTACGTCAGTATTTTCCTGACGGTACCTTAAACTGTTCAGCGTTAATCAAATATTAGATGTCAAACCAGCACAATGTATATTGCCTTTGATATCGCTGTGTACAAAAAGCGATACATAAAAACTCTGACCATTATCGTTATCCGTGCTCAGAGGAAAGAAGTCCTCTTACCTGCGACAAACTGCTGCAATTCCTCGGCTGTGGTTCCTCGAGGTCCTTTGTGACATGGTTTCACGACTACGAAGGCCTTTCCCACGTCGCCATATTCCACGTGGGGCAGACTAATAACTGCTGCTTCCTCGACGCTCTCATGAGTCAACAAAACAGTTTCGACATCTGACTGGGCAACTTGCCGTCCCATACAGTGATAAAATTGCTTCATTCGCTCCACGATGTAAAAGCGCCCGGTTTCATCGTAGTATGCAATGTCTCCTGTGAATAAAATTTAAGTAATCAACCTTTACGCTGTTTATTAAGTCACACAGAGGCTTCTAGACCCATGAAATGCAGTGTTTAATGTGCGGTCGATTAAGACTTAAACCGTCGTTTCGCGAGGTGGAGAACCTTTGTTTTTATCAATTTCCCCGCTACATTGGGTCAAGCGGCGTCAATTTCCCCGAAACTTTACATGGGAAACTGAATTGGTGTATAGATCACGCGGCGTAAATTATTCCCCTATATTTAGCGAGGAAACCTATTTAATGTGTAGGTCACAAGACGTGAGGTCACGTTTTGTCGATTTCTCCGCTAAATTTAGCGCGGAAACTGAATCGGTGCATAGGTCACATGGCGTCAAGTGACATCACGTGACCTAAAGAGTACTGCAGTTTTCTCGCTAAGTGTAGCGGAATAGCTTGGCAATGATAATAAAGGAAGGGGGAAGTATAGTATCGGCGAAGAAATCGAAATATAGGGGGCGCTTTATCCAGCTGTGTTCTAAAGCACCTTGATGTTTTTCCGTTTGTCTTGCAAATAGCGTCAGATGCGCGAGTGCACGAGGTCCGTGTCTCGAGCGGCCTTTGGAAGCAATTGACGACGCAGCACTGAAATGGGTGGTCCTTAGAAGCGAATGACGGCGGTGCACCCGCTCGTGGCACGTGGCTTGCGCGTTACCACAGCAATGGTTCGCGGTACTTGTAAGCGTCAAGCTTATTGAGGGACTGTATTCTGTTTTCCAGAGCTCGGTGTTCACTCAATACGTGGTCTGTGCACCGGGTTTTCTACCTGGTGCACCTTGATCCAGCCCGGGGGGGGGGGGGGGGGGGGGGGAAGGGAAGGGAAGGGAAGGGGGAGTGGAGGGGACGTGAGTATTGCGTCAAGATTCTTATGTGGCACGTGTTCAATCGGTGCTTCACTAATAAAGGACAAGCCCCAATGGAATGCTGACGCAGCCTTCAGGCCGAACCGCACCGGGCGTAGTTCCGACGTATTTACGGGCGTTTCGTCGGGCGTAATCCCGACGTATAGGTTCGTCGAGACGAGCGCGTCCTCGACATCTCATGGTTGGCGTAAATACGCGCGTATTCGGCAATCCTAGCGAAGCGAATCTCGGCGCTTCGGTGTATTTCGGCACGGCGTATCCGGAAGCGTACGGCGCGGTGCCAGCCAATCATCTCGTGAGTTGACAGCCGGCATGTGCTCGAGGATCGGCTCGCCGAGCTTTGCGGCCGGATGGCTGGCTTGACACAGCCACCAAAACGGGCGGTCTCTTGTCGCGCAACCACGCTCAAGGTCACGTACTCAAACTCACGTACCGCCCTTGGCTGAAGTGCAAGGTCGTGCAATCAAGATCACGTAAGCGCCGGTTGCGTAACCTCCGTTCGCGTAAGCGGCGGTCGCGTAAGCTCGTACGCGACAACAGGTCACGTCAGCTTCAGCTGACGTGACCTGCTGACATCGCCCTTGAGGTCGCTCCCAAGGTCGTCCTAGATGTCGTCCTAGAGGTCGTTTTAAGGGTCGTCCTGGAGGTCATCCTAGAGGAAGTCCTTGGGGTCATCCTAGAGAGCTTTTTGTTTTTGTCCTAAAAGTCGTCCTAGATGGCGTCTTTGGGGTTGTCTGTGATGTTATCCTAGAGGTCGTCATCGACGTCGTCCTAGACGCGCTCCTTGACGTCGTCCTGGACATCGTCGTAAGCGTCGTCCTCGAGGTCATTATAGACGTCGTTCTTTAGGAAAGCATACCGAGCTCCCTGGACGTCATCTTTTGGGAAGACCTCTTGGGAGCTCGGTGTACCTTTAAGTCGTCGTCGATCTCTGCACGGCATATTACGGCAATTTCATCACCATGTCATTTCCCTTCTAATTGTTTTCACCAACGATGTTCCAGTAAAGCGCATTTTATCGCGTTTGGTCGAGTGAACGTGCGTGCAATTGTTAGAGAGTTTACATAAACAACCTACTTCCACAAACGATGGTGATTGAGTATGAAATGTGCTCTACAAGTGGTAGCTTTCCAGGCTTGACAACGCTCCATATAGGCGACTTAAGGTGGCCGACCGGTGGCCACAATCGTGCAATGGTCTCAAAGCGGGGATGAGCGATCCAGCACATCGTCATACAGATCAGTGCGCTCAACGGCTTATCGGCGAACTGTACGAAATCGCTATAACTCTTTCGAATGAGCGATGAAGGACTGAGACAGAAGAAAGAACTATCTATGTGGCGCACGATGTGAAAAAAAAATATAAAAGGGAGGGTTTTGAGCAGAAATCGTGACCGTTCTCTAGCCGGAACTTGTTGGCATTGTGGCTATTGCAAGGAACATTCTTGAGACAAACATTAGGAAATTAGGCTTTCGTGGTTGATTAACATTTAGTTATTTCTCTCCCCTTGTGAAAAGCGATAATATAGCAACTGATATACATTTTGCACCTTTTCATGAAAATCGCGAGTCGGGCCACATTCCACCAAACACAGAGGGGACGTCGACGAAAAACGCAGTGTGTGGTTTGGCTGCCTTCCCCTCTCCCCTTTTGTAAAAAAGTGCCTGCCAAATGCTGTGATTACGCCCGCTCAAAGGAGCGTAAATATGTTGAGAATGCTTACTATGTTGGTCGGCCTTTCGGCTACGCCAGCCGAGCGCTGCGTCGCTAACAAAAACTAATAATTCATATTGTCCCCGTGGGCTGAGTTCTGAACGTACCCGCTAGAAGCTCAGCGTTTGGATTTCTTCTCCACTAGGTATGGAGATAGGGTCATAAGGAATACCAGCTTACAGCCACTTGTGATAAGAGTCCTTGAGCGATTTAATAAAGGCCGATAGAATTACCATCATCGAAGAAGATACCGGAGTGGTCCCTTAATAGAAATTACTTGGAGTGGTTTATGATGCTCCATTTATTAAAAATGACATCCAGCAAAGTAAACCCAAATGTAACCAGACATTCTCTACGGTATTATGTGTAATTCAAGGGTGCTTATTAACACGATTATTGTTCTACCAGTGTGTGGAAATTGGTGATCTCTTTTCTGACGATTTGCCCCTATCGAAAATTCCATCAAGATACGTAATTTGGGACACTGACTGCCAGTCAACAGCCTTGGTAGAACGTGATGGACCATCAGACGTCATCTGATTGTCCATCAGATGACGTCTGACTGCCACTGCCAAGGGAATTTCATCAACAATAACAGCATTTATAAAAGAGTAAATATCGCCAAATGCCTCGATAAAACAAAATGTTCGAGAAAAAAAAAAGAAAAAAAAAAAAAAGCAGGACCACCGCGGATCAAACCCGCGACCACATCCGTACAAATCGGACACCTTAACCCCTATCCTATGCCACCGCTTGGAAACTCGATTTGACCATTCTTTTTACACGAGATGCTTCTGCTGCAAATGCAGTTAAGCCTTCAGCATGTTATGCAAAGCACTCGTACATCACTCGCCGTACTTCAGTTCTACTCACCTGCCATGCAGAGTACTTTCGCGTCGTAGAACGATCCTTTTGTTCGCGCGTCTCCGGCCAGTAGACCTGGTACACCTTGTCGTCTTCAACTACACCGCTAACTGAGTCCCTTACATCGTCGGAACTCACAACTGGCTGGGTCTTGTCGAGTAGAAATTCTACTAAAACATAAGACATTGTAGAGCCCGGACAGGATCGACAGGTTGGAGCAAGCGGGCAAACAAAACGAGTCGAGAGCGATCGTTCATGAAAGTTCGGAGAAGCCTCTATGGGCAAAGCGAAGTGGCGTGTTCGGCTATCGGCGGGCTTCTGATCAAGGGTGTCGGTCGGCTGCGTGTCATATCTCTAACATCAGCGGTTTTATGGGCTCACGTCCCGAAATCGTTTTCTTGTGCATAGATTATTTTTCGTATTCATAGATTTGACGAAATAGTGGTATCCGAACGAACTTTACGTCCTTTGACCGTACGTCTGTCTGCACGTCAAAGCTTTTTGACGCACAGTCAGAGACAAAGGATGTACAATCAGAATCGCCACCAGGACATCCTGATGGCATTTCGCGGCGGCCGACTGCCACCAGGAAACCATCAGAAAGCCGACAAGTGGAGTCTGATGGGAGTTTGACTGTCGGTCAGAGTAACTTGTTGGCCAATCAGGCATGCTTGACGTACAGTCAGGCACAGTCAGCGGTCCACTAGAAAATATTGACTGCCAAACAGGGTTACATTGATGGATTTTTCCTTCGGGGTGAATTCTGGGTTATTTTGCTTATGGGTTGTGAAACGTGACCGTACTTTTCTGTCTTGTTTCACATATATTTATAGGTGACGAATTCTATGGGTTCAAAATTCAGATGCGTTACTTTGAACTTCAAAATAGTTTGAACAGGAAATGAGCCTGCTACATTCTGTTTGCCGCTCCAGTAGCGAATAAATACTGAAATTTTAACTTTACTGTATAATATAAAATCGCCGCTGTTTCTTTTTGTGCGCCCCCCGAGGTCACGTGACCCCCCCCCCCCCCAGAGCTCACGTGACCCCCCCCCCCCCCCAGAGGTCACATGACCCCTCTCCCCCAACAGTACCCTTCCCTACTCCTCCTCAAGAGCTGCGCTCTAATTCGGCGTTAGAGGGAGTTGTAAACGGCTTCCACTTTTTTTTTTAAGTATTAGGCACGTATTAATAGCTTCTACAAAATCTCGAGTTTTCACAACGGTACCTGATCGGAGCCAGGCATCGGAAGTAATCACTTCGACAGTCGCCTCAGGGTTGTTGTGGTAGGCTCTCATATTGGTGGGTGACTTGGCCCAGAGTTCTCCGTGCTCGTTAGGTCCAAGTACTTTTCCAGTGTCAAGTTCAACGATCTAGATTTTTTTTTGAGCAATGGTGAGATGTACGTTTAAAGTATCGTGTTTAGTAATAATTGATCCGTGAAATTCACCTACCTTCATTTGCACGTTTGGAGCCGGGAACCCGATTGTTTTGTGCTCTGTTGTGTCGCGCGGCAGCCAGGAGATCACGTTCGAGTGTTCTGTCGTCCCGTACATGCTCCTGAAGCTTTTTAGGGAGAATGCAGATGAGATAGTTTCTGCGGCCTTTTCTGTTACGCGACTGGCGACGACGAGAACGTTCTTCACGCTAGGAAGCCGAATCCCACTTTGGATCATCTTTCTGGCCAGCTTATATATTACCGTGGTGCCAGCGAAGAGCGTCGTGATCTGAAGACGACAACAGGAGTTAGAGTAATCGAAATGTCGAATTCTAGTAAAAAAAGAAAGTAGGTCAGTTATTTCCTCCACAAAATGGCACTAGTTTCAGTGGTGTATAAATAGGGTTGCTTGTTTTAGGTTATGCCGATAAAACCCGTAAAATACCCCCTGAGCCGGTATTATCAAAATTGGCTAAAGCCGAAACATTCGAATTAGAGCTGTGTTAGTAGGAAAAACTGAAGCTCCACGTGAGTAGCTTTGTTTAGCTACAGCTTTGGATGGTGCAAGCGCATAACTCCCGTAAGATTTACAAGGACAGCATCATGACATTCAACACTCGTCGGCACGTTGTCCCTACGCATTGCCTACTCCTGTCTTTCAAATTGTTTAACACTTCGCAGACAATATTATTTTTCGCACTATATTGTAGTGTAATTATGGGCATGTTTAGACAGCGGAAGCTGGTCAGCTCCAATTGGCGTCTGTTGTTTCCGCCGTATATAATAAATTTTGCCTGCGCAGGATCGCTGCTGGCCTGAGGTGTTCAAAGAGCATCACGCAGTAGTGATACACAACCGCGCGCCAGTATAATGCTCATCCAGATCGAAATGCCCTGGTGGGGATTGAACTTAGGACCCTCTGGGTTCTGCAGCGCGAGCTTTCGCCCTATGTTCTCCATGCTGCGGTGCGTTCACCCACTCGCGGTAATCTGGTTGGTCCGAGTCACTTTAGAGCAGCCAGAACGTTGTTTATGAGCTGGCTACAAAAATGACTTTCGGAGCGCAAGCATGCTTACTTTTCATTCATTCCACCACGAATACTCCGTTAAGATTCATGTGTCGGCCTGTCGTATTTTTTTTTTTTTTTGCCGTTCATGTGGAATTACTTTTTATCATCGATTGCACAGTCGCCAGTTTGATGACATTCACAAAGCTTAATTATTTAATAATTTTTTTTTAAATACCGGTACGAACATCATCGTGCTCTGGAGTAATGTGCTGTCGGCTGCGCTGCGGTGAAGCCAGGCATGTAGGATCATTTGAGGCTAATTTTGCTGCAATTATGGCTCGAGTTATTTGCAGTTCTGTCAAATGTAGCAGGATGTGGCAGGCTAAGCACCTTGGCACAGTCTGGAGCAAATGGTGCAGCAGTCAGATTATTGGACACGCCACCCATCCCCCGTGGTGTAGAGAGCAAGTTACTATTGTACACCTGGGCGAAGAGCGACAAGGCTGTCACGACCTCCGCCACTTATTCCCCCCCTCCCACTTTGGCTTTACTCGGGTCTCGTACAGCAGCATCCGCTCGTAGCGTTCCTTGAGCTGACACGCGCTTTTCTTTCATAAGGTGCCTATGTGTCTGAGGCAGGCGTGTAAAGGCCTTACTTTTTCAGGCAACGCGCATCAGTGCCGGCCAAAAATCAACTTTATGGTGGCTTTACAGGCTTTCTAACGGGACCAACCGAGGTTACTCCGCACACAGTCACTTGCGGCGTCTCGGTGTGCCCTAAGCCTTGGGTGACACACACCTCGCTGCTTCCCATCAAAGTGATTCCGTGTGCACGCCAAAGCCACTGCACGACGTTGTGACTGTAAGTACTGGTATCACTACCATCCTCCACGACGCCCGCGCAGTCTCGTTTCGACTGAATATCCTCAGTCCTGGGGCATTCCAGATAACCATCAGGTGCATTCGCTCTGGTCCGTCGCTTGGTCTCGTGGCGCTCAAAACATCGTCGTGCATGTCGTTGCGTCGCCTTTGGGCATTTCTATTTGCCCTTCTACTGGATTTTCTGGCCCTGGAGCGTCACTCGGGTTGAGGAAACCTTTGGCGTTTGGGGATCCAGTGGCTTCCTCTCTGCTCTGAGGACCCCACACTTGTTGCGCTTGAACGTTAGCCCCGACGTTGTTCCACCTTGTCCGCACATTTCGAGCAGCTCCTCAAGTGACACTGCCATCAGCCCTATTTTGTCTCCTTCACTTTAAGCAGAGATTCTCAGCACCACTTCCCTTCCTTTGTTTCCTTACTTACGCAGAAACCTGACCCACACGTCTTCTCACACTTCCTAGGCCTGGCACTTTGCATTATTTCAAGCAGCGTGGAAAGCGGATACTCCTTCAGCCTACCTAAGTTCGAACCTCTGACATCTGCCCGATTATCGTATATCTCGGGCCAGTGTGCCACAATGTCCCTCCACTCCTCTGGCCTCCTACTTGCGCTCAAGCCCCATTTAATCTAATCTGCTATGAAATGAGTGAATATGCATCGTAAAGATACCAGATGCTGCAGGTAAAGTGATCTCCGCTCTTGGCTGGCAACATCCATGGCCCGCCGGATGACAAAAGGTTATCGTCCAGTCTTCTTCTCTTCAGGAAGCCAGTTTGAAGCTTCCCTACTATACCCATGTGTTTTGCTCATTTTTGTGTAGGCTTCCTAACATACGTAAGAGTTTGACAGAGTACCAAAATCACTGCTGTTAATCGAGTTTTTTTTTTTTTTTTTTGTGGATAAGCTTGTTTTATTTCCCCTTGGACAACACCCTGATTCACAATTTCCAGTCCTTCGGTATCCCTTGTAGCGTGCCTTTAAATAGCTCTTAAAGCGAGGAAAAAAAGTGGACGTATTAGCATAAGATATGAAACCCGTGCTGACGCTTACGCGTCTTCTGTCCTGCTCTAGGATGTTCGACCTCCAGCACGAGCTTGTTGCCTTCCGACACGTTTAGGCTGCGCGCGCACGCTCGAGGTGCCCGAGACACCGAAGTATGGTTGAAGGTTGAAAGCTCGCACTGGAGGTGGGGCAACTTAAGGTCTCTTCATGTGTTTGGGTTTGTCTTGCAAGTAGCGTCAAATGCGCCTGGGCACAAAATGCGTGCCTCGAGCGGCCCTTGGAACCAGATCGCGGCGCAGCACTGAAAGGAGCTGCCCTTGGAAGCTAATAGCGGAGGAGCATCCGCTCCTGGCGCGTGTCTTGTGCGTTTTCACAACCGTGGTTGGCGGTACTTGAAAGCGTGAATTTTATAGACTGACTTTAGGGTAACTGAAGCGCCCTCCTGTCGTTCTCACCATGCCAGTATCACATCTGAGAGCCCTTCCCGGAGCCGTTTCCTAGACCTCTTTGACACCGTGTCCAAGTGGCTAATTAGGGTGTCATCTAGACCCGTTGCAGTTTTGCCCCTATACACGGCATGACCCCGTTCACCTTGCCCTGGGATGTTATAAGGCGTCGCTGATTGATATTTCGTGTCCCGTCTTTCTGAGAGCCATCTGGATCATGACATTTAGACCTTCAAAGATTTTTGTTACCTCTAGAGTAACTGCTCGATAGAGTTTTTTCCAGTCAAGGTTATTTCATTTGTGGGTTCCTTTGCTGTCGTTGGGTTGTAACTTGACAGTGTTAGGAGTTGCCACATACAGCAAGTTATAGTTCTGCACCTGTGGAAACTCTCCATCGCTGGACTAATCGAAACTATTTCTTTTTTCCTCCACGACCTATTCCTTTACTCTCTTCCCCAGCCACCTGATAGATTACGGGTGGAACCAGCTGAACAAGGAAGGAGAAACAGAAAAGACAACCAATCGCTGGACTGCCAACTATTTTAATAAATCGTTCTCCTCTTGTACTTATTCTTATGCGCATCAAAAATTCTTTTTCTCAAATTGTGTGTTTTTTCTTAAATCTGTTTTTACGTAGCAGGGAGGGCGCCGTTCAGAAAGGGCTTTTCTTGCGGTTGCAGGGTTATTGAGGCGGAGCTCATACAGTTTTCCTCTTCGTTGTCTATTAGCGATGTGCGCGACCAAAAGCGTCGCTGCGGTCAGCTTTCCACGATTGGCCAGACCATGGGCATATGAGCATTGTCAGATTGTCAACTTTGACGGTGTTAGTTCCGGTTGCGATGGTTCCTAGCTTCCACTGTGCTTTTTAAACACACCATCGAACTCGTCGTCGCACCTGGTGGCAAGTAGCAAGGGTAACAACTGGTGACGTCACGGTGAGGAAAATCCCAGTCGTGACGTCACGAAGGGAAACTATTAGAGGGCGTTACCAAAATATCTCGGCGCTAATAGCCAAGGCCTCCAACATCTCCCTTGGAAGCTGGTTTTAGGGGATTTCTCCTCGCGTGTCAAGGACAAAACCCCGAGCATTTCTCCCCGGCACGCGGACCCCACGCCGAAAGCGTCAGGCTTTGCGATGTGCAAAAGCCTCCCGTTTTCATCTCGTGATGCGCGCGTGCCGGGGAGAAATCCCGGGGATTTCTCCCCGGCACGCTCATCCCACGACGAAAACGTCAGGCTTTGCGATGTGCAAAAGCCTCGTGTTTTCATCTCGTGATGCGCGCGGGCCGGGGAAGAAATTCTCCCTCGTGTGAATACTCCTTTAGGGTCTAGCCATGTCCGTATGTCCGTCAGCCGTCGGGTGCACGTGCTCCTGCTCGTGAGCTCACGCGCTCACGTGCTCACGAGCTCGTGAGCACGTGCTCCCGTGCTCGTGTAGGGTAAAAAAAAACGCGTCTCCACGTGGTGAATGATGTTGATTGGGGCGAAGCTCTGGTGGTGCTTGTCTGCGTAGACGATGAGCCGCAGCATACCGAGCCTTTCGTTCGTTTTCATTCATGTCAGAAAGAAAATGTGTGGTATGTAACGTGGTTATATACGCATTTGAGCATTTGACCGCAGCGTGACATGGATGAAAACGAACGAAAGTCTCAGCATGCTGCGGCTCAGCGTCTACGCAGACAAGCGCCACCAGAGCTTCGCCCTAAACAACATTATTGACCATGTGATGATGCGGTTGTTTTTATGGTGCCCTATGATGCCATAGCTTGCTTAAGCTTTGGTTTGCACTTGTAAGTTCGACAATGCGCAGCAAGGTGTCCTGGTTCAGCGAGATTCTTAACGTTCGCCACATGTTCACATGCACGGTCGTTTATGCATCTCCCCGTGTCTCCAATATAGCATCGTCCACATGTTAACGGTATGCTGTAAGCGACTCCTTTTGGGGACGGAAGGTATTTTGTCCTGTGCCGGGTGTCGCACATATATTTATTGTTCGTTTGTGTCTGATTAATCTTGCGGCATACACTCTAAGAAAAAATGGAGGAAAAAAGTAGCAACGGCGCGTCTTCCTCCCTTCTACTGACGCGCCCCCAAGTGGACACGAGAAAAGGGGAGGAACGAAACGTTTTTCTCCTTCTCCAGGCAGACGGGAGAAAGCTTTCGCCCTCGCGACTCATCTTCTTTCGGCTTTCTTTTTCGAGCAGGTCGCGCACGTTGTTTAATAAATAGCTGTTGAGTTGATTGAGCTTCAGCGGCAGCGAAGGCCGCCTGTGATTCCGTCTTATAGTCTAAACGTGCAGAACATTTCGGTTGCATTGATGTTTTTATCACTAATTTTATCAAACGAGCAAACAAAGCCGCTGAAAACAGCCAAGTTCCGGAGCAGTGCCAGCAGCGCCACGTACACTGGGGGATGGCCGCTTGGATGGTCGGCGGGTTTTGCTGCCGGCTGCCTGGGTGCCTTCCGTCCTGAGTTCGGTTCTGTTTTCCGATGCCGAGTGCAACCGGCGTTCAACGTGGTTCTGTATTTGTGCGTGTCAGCAACATAGCTGCAACATCGTGATGGCAGTTTTGTGGGTTGTGAACAGGAGACTGGAATTATCGCCGATGTGACCGTGTGTTCGCGTATCAGTGGTGTAACAACAAGATGAGATCGTAAACTGTCGGGCATTGATGCCGTTGGTCGGGCCGTAATCGGAGGGGGCGGGGTGTCACAGGTTGACATTCCGCTTTACATTAAAAAGTGTAATCCCACTTGAGAGATTACGTGCAATCGATCAACGTGAGGATAGCCATGTTGGAACGCTGGTCTGAACAGTAGAAGCTCCTATCGCTGTGACTGTCGGAATTGTCTCGTCCCCGAGAGCGATTGCGCTCTGGGGCAAGGACTGAACCGTACGAAATCGTGACGGAAAGTACGTATATTTACAGTATGGAATTTCGGCATTAAAAAACAATCGTAGGTAAAAGCGAAAAAATAAAAAAGGTACCCTCTATTTTGCTGTTTAAATATACTACGGTTCCTGGAGAAACTGCCCTCCAAGTGGTGCGCTGGAATGAGCGCTAGAAGTTTTCGGGCTCGCCACGGCGTAGCTCCGTACACTTAACACCTGCCGCAAGTCGCGGCTTTGACTGCATTCAAGTTGATCGAAAAGCGATTTCTCAGCCCATGAACCATCACTTCCAGCTGAGTGAATATCCGCTCTACAGAGATTAATTCAACACGGCAATTGCAGCTTTGCGCGAACAGCACAAATAGAAAAACCAATAGAAATACAGTCTATGACGTGGCGTGTGGGGAAACAAACTCATGGCTTCGAACCGCATTGGAGCGGCTTGATTTATTGGCTTTAAAATGATTACGGCATGATCGAGCGTTTACTTTTTAATAAGAGATTAATCCCCTGAGCCATTCAAAATACTCTCAGAGGTATAACATTGCTGGAAAAATATCAACATGCTGGGAATATTTTTTATTGCTTAGGGAGTCACCGAAAAGTTCCGTACGTTCAAAACGACCAGTATAAAAAAGGAAACGCAGAGTACGGGTTACTGTTCGGGTCAGTGTGGTGTTGCGTTGTATTGTTATTTGTGTGTGCCGTGTCTGTGCTCAATATATGTTCACCTGATGCTTGTAATAAGCGTAATGTGTGTATAGTAGAGGATCCCAAGCTCAGTAGCAGAGCCGTGTATGTAGAGAGTTTGGTCAATGGGAGGTGCGGGCAGAGCCAGGGCAGCCAGGGCGTGCGGCAAACTCGAGAAGAGGGCTTGGCATGCTCTCTTGACTAACCAAAAGCCGAAAAGAATCCCCTAGCGGTGGTAGCGAGAAACAGTTCTGATCAAAGGTCTATGTTCGTATATGGTTTTAATTAGCGCGTAAGAGTGAAGTGTAGTAACTCTT